TGGAAATGAATTTCAAGAGATTATGTAATTTGTACCCACTATCAGAGCTGTTAAGAGACAGAGCTGGGATTAAATCATGACCTTTGGCCTCTCTCCAAATACTAACATCACATATGGCTTTTAACTGTGGTTCCAACAATCAAGAGTATATTTTCTTTTAAAACTCTCTTTTGTTCTATCATAGTGAAATATGTGTTCAAGCTGGATGGTAGTAAAGACAGAACAGGAGATGAGGTAATTTTAAAGATGTATATAGATAGAATCTTTGGTCACTTCTAAAGTAAATTCTTTTCCTATCCTGTGAGTTTTGTGTCTTATGCACTTTGACCAAATAACGCAATTTTGTGGAACATCACTCTTCACCTACCTACACTTGAAGGTACCATATTTATATTATTTTCCATGTAAATAAATGTCAGGTGAAAACTGACATTTTTTAAAATAACAATCATTTGTTTTACAGGGAATCAGCTTGCAAGAGTACTTATCAACTTGTCAAGTTGAATTTTCAGTTTCAAATATGAATCCCATGCCCATACTCAAGCAATTGATTTCTCCTAATTGATTCTAATTTTATGTAACAGTCAATTTCATGGCTGAAATGCTCCAGTTTTGTTTTGTTTTTAATAGGCAATATGAAAGTTGAACATCCAAATTACTCATGTTGCATTGAATTTAGAGTGCAGAAATATATCCAAAATGCCTTTAAAATTTATTATTCTAGAAATGCCTCTCTATTAATCTCATCAAATACAGTACTTAATGCAATTTTGCTTTGCTTTAGAAAATTTTTGCCTAAAGAAACTTGTAGTTCTGAATTTCTTTGATGTTTAAGCAAGAATAAGATAGTACCATATTTTACAGTCATTTTCTCCATTCTACTTGTATCTAACATATATAACTACGAAACTATCTTAGAGCTCCACTATTTTCTATTTTCACCTGCTGAATAGGGAATTTTAAATTGTTTTTCATATTCGATGTTTTAAACTGATTTTCATATTCAGTATACCAATAATTTCATTTGTGTTACCTCGTTCAAGTCTCATGAATAAATAGTTATCCCATTTTATAGGATAGGAAAGTGAGGCCAGAGAATAATCATCAAAATCACATAAATGGTAAGTGGTGGAGCTAGAGTTCCAGATGGGTCTGACCTCAGAGTCCTGGCGCTTCTACAACACCCTTTCACCATCAGAAATGAAACAACTTACTTGTAGTCATACAATTTTCCAGAGTCAAACACTTTCATGATAGCTACACCCATTATAGATAGAGTACTTTATACAAGTCCACATGTACACAAAGCCAGACAGATCCCCTTCTGGTACTGCACAATGCAGTGTCTACAAGACTCTGGAATTGTAAAATTTCTCCTAAGAATTCCACATCCAATCCTCATCACATTCTTGTTACTTCTAAGAATTTTACTATTCTTCCAATTTAATTGTTTTTAACTTCCCTTTATAGCTTTGAGGAAAAAATTGCATCCTCCAGTACCTACCTGTAACAACAAGCTTTGTTCCACCACCAAATTGCTTGACATTATAATTGCACAGTGGTTCAACCTGTATCAAAAACTTCAGACTAGCTTAACTTCTTTGAATTCTTCAGATTCTAGTGGAATTGTGATAACCTGTGACTCAAAACCAGCATTCTGCTCCCAGGTTATTTTGATCATAAGATTCTGTGTTTGAGCATATCAATGAAATAATGATTGTTTTGCCTTTTTTATCTGAAAATGATGTTTAGCATAAATCACTACCAGTGGTGAAGTGAGATCAAATTATACAAGATCTGAAAACTATTGTAATTTCAAATGTTATTGAAGTGAAAGATTATGATCCACTATCATTATCATTTCATTCTTGTTAGGAATTTGTAGTAGTTATATGCTCTAATGTGACATTTTAATCACATTAGACAAAACTCTGATCTTACTAAGGAAGTCAATATTTTGGAGTTGCAACTAAGTCCAGATAATTAAGGCTAAAGGCTCATTATTTTCTTTGCATGTTACTTTGCTCTAATGTGTTTTGAATTTATAGTCATCATCACATGAAACCTTTGTTTCAAACCCCCAGCTAAGGCAATCATTTGTCTGGTCTTCTCTGTATTATACCTGTTTAAGAACGCTTTTGGCTCTAGTCTAGCATCTGCAGTCAACACATGCTTTTGCCCCTCTGGCATTCTCCACAGCAAATGGCTCTTTCCCAATCCACAGCACGACCTTTTGCATTCCAGGTTTCACCAGCCATTTCATCCTGAAACTGACACCTATACAGCACATGTCACAAGTTCAGCCTCAAAGATTAATGACCACAGGCCTTCAAGGAAAATGCCTGGAGAAATGACAAGATACCTGATCCTCACAGCTTCTTAGGATCACCAGAGGTCATTAAAACATTACGTGCCTGACTATATCTGCTGAAGGTCACCACCTGCGAATGACAGTAAGTGTTATGGGGTCCCAAGCAGTAATGTGGTACTGGTATAAGATGGGTTTGGTTAAAGACCATTTCTGTCTCTTCATAAAATGGATGTTGAAGGCAATATTTGCCGGCCTGTTTCACTTTTCTCTTAAAAGACTCTTTAGTCAATGCCCTTTTAACTATAGAGTGAAGAAAAAACAGAAAATTTGTTTTGCTTCACTTAATCTGATAATAAAAGTATGCTACCCCAATACATTTTCTCCTACTTTTAAACACAAAACTTTACTTTGGGTTTCTAGGTGATTGCAGGCCCTTTTCCTTTTGCTTTCCTTAGCGTTTTGAGTTTTGACTTTCATTATGGTCACAGAGCATGAGTATTTAATTTTAGGTCTTCTCGAGTAGATTTTGGAAATAACAGTATAAATAAGTGACATATTTTGTGAATTTTGTCTTTTTATTTTTCCCTGCCCCAGAGGTTGATAGTTTAGTGATATCTATCTTGAATATGACATAGCAGATGGGAGAATATGTTTCTAAATTCTAGTTCTGTGAGAGACACAAAACAATAAAAATTCAAACATAATGAAAGAGCCAGAAAACAAGAGTCCTCAAAGTTATCCTTCACATAACATGTGTTACCTTGTCTCAGTCCTTGAACAAACTTTCATATTACAAGAAGATGCTCTTCTAATTCTCTGCTTTTATTTTGGAAAAATACTACTGGATAAGGTATCAAAGTGATATAAACTCAACTGAAGAGTCTGAACAAAAATTTCAATGAAATTGAGAACCAAAAAATCCCAGAATTGTTCAAATGATATTATTACTGATGTACCTTTTAACTTTGTAGGTACAGTGTGATTAAGTTAGTAACTGGCTTAAGGGGATATTTGCCATTTTATCTGTATCACAATACATTTATATATATAGAATGGAAAATTGCTTCCAGGTATTTCTAGTAAAAAATGATTGATTTATATTCAAGCTAATAACACTAGAGAGAGTGCTAAAATTTCATTAAAATCATTTTTAGAAATTGGTAGTTATTGGTCTAAGAAAATAAAAGTATTTTGCAAATGCTGGCCATTTGTTTAAATGCAGACTAAATGACAATAAGTACATCTGTACTCCTGATTTCAGGAATAATTCTAATGTATGCTAATTTGAATGTAGACAATTGACATTTTTCTCATTTCCAACTTTTGTAGTAGTTCATTTTCACATTTAATTCTTACAGCATCAACCTGATACAGTTGATGCACTGACAGAATAAATGGATAAAATTATATCCAAATGTTATAGGTACATGTCACTCTACCATTAATTTATTTTTAGTCTTTGGATTTTCTGTTGTTCTTCATGAGGCCATGCATATTTTTCTTTGACAAAACATTAATCATTAAATCAAAGTTTATTTGCTAAGAGAGGCTTATACAGAAAGTGATAGACCCATAATTGAAGTTCTTATTGTTCTGACACTACATTCCTCTAAAAATAATATTTTTTCAGACTCCTCGTAAATCGTGTCACCATTATTTAAATGGATGTTACAATTAAATTGTGTAGAATTTGGGGAAAGAAAAGAAAAACTTTTGTATTTTAATTTATGAATTTACTTGTTCATATGATCATAAGTACTAAGGAAAATAAAATGTAGTATTTCTTTCATTTTTTTCAGTTCTTTATCAACTTTTGAAAATTCTTTTAAAACTGTCACATGAGGGTATGAAGCTCTCTGAAGCCACTGCAGCATGAGTTCGATTCGATCCCCCACCAGGGAGGTGACCCACATGGTGTGGCAGACCTCTCCTCACCCACCGTTGCTCCCCTCAGCAGTGTACTTCAGTACATCTGCCTATTCTGCTCCCCATTCTGTCTCTGGTGAATCCTCTCACCCACCACACATCTGGCCTGTCCCTCAGTTTATTTAACATAAATAAATCTTAAAAAAAGAAAATAATACTGTCACTTAAATGGATCCAGTAGTCTACAAACATCCTTGAGAGATTTCCTCCCACCTTTGGCTACTATATCATCTTTAAGGTTAATGAAGACTGAACAAAGTTACTGTATTACATATAAAAAAAATCAGCATATGACACTCAAATATGATTAAGAGTTAAATATTTGATATTAACCATTGCCTTACTAAATCACTAGTAATTTTTGCTATTACTTATATATTTTATTTATTTATTAATGTATTTATTGTTCAGTTAGATTCCTAGGATTACATTATGCATGAAATCAGCTAGGAAAAAGAACACCAAAAAATCTTCATTTCAATTTATGAATTCACTTATTTGTATGATCGCAAATCCCAAGGAAACCACAATACAGCATTTCCTTCAAATTGTCAGTGTTTCAACAGCTTGTGAAATTTTTTTGAAAACTTTCATTTGAATGGATCTATTAAGCAAGGAAAATGTTTGAAAGGTGGTCTTACTTGTCCAGAAAAAATTCTACCTTTTACATTAACAAACAATGAAGAAATCTACTGGAAGGGGTTTAGAAAACGAGGACACCAGTGCATGTTAGGATCCTATTTGGATACTTGTACAACTGTCCAACAGTAAGTTAAAAGACTCTTGAGTTCAACAATTTTGTAGTGAAGTTTAAGACTCCTGCCACTGTCCTGTTGGCAGTTTTACTATTTCTGGGCATATGATGTCCATTCAGAAAGAAACTTGGAATGAGGTAAGACTTGTCATTTTAAGAAATACTCTAAGAATCATATTTTGGGTACTTTAATAAGTCCACATTCAGCATGATTGGAGTTTTTTTCAAGGGAGAATGCATTTCAATGCCATGATCAGAAACAGATTTTTTTCCACACATTTAACAGTAACACAAACGATCAACTCTTACTAAGTGGGTAATTCAGAATCCATTTAAGCAATCAGGCTTCAGAAAAATAAATAATCAGAATATAAACATGATAATATTTCCAATAGCACATAGTGGCACAGCCTATGCTCTTTGTCATGCAAAAAAATCCTGTTGAAGTCCACAGAATCTAGTCATGTGAATATGGGTAAACGACTGGACTCATTAAGTCTCAATTTCCTTACTTTGAAAGGGGAATAGTGTGGTGGAAGAATAAGATACTGAAACAAGTTAGTATGGTATCTAACATCAATAATTATTAGATAACATTATTCTCTCAAATGGGGTCATTTTGGGCCATTTTATAAAATGCTTCAGCAAATAAAATGTATCTATATTGTAAGCAGTGACTATTATAGCATATAAATTAACAAAAGGAAAAAAGGCCCACAAATCTAAGACTTTCTAGCACACTAATAGCCACAGACCAAAGAACTTCAAACTCATTTATTTAATAAAAGTGTATCTCATGCTGAAAACCTCCTGGAAGAAAAGTATTGTGAACCAACATCATATGCTAATGTATACAGAATTGGCCCCTCAAATATTGTAATACCTACCCTAAAGTTATACTTTCTCATTTATTTTAAAGAAAATAAAATTTTAATCTACTCACAAGCAAAAAAAATGAATTAACCATTTGCAGAAGTCCTTTTTTTCAAATACAGTGATCAGGAGCTGCAAAATTGCTGTTCATATGCTAAGACCAAGTATGTGGCATAAGATAAAGCTGGTCTGCAAATGTTTTTTTCTAGAAAGCATCTATCAGAATTTGTTTTAATTTAAAAAGTAAATATATATATAAAAAGTCACTTACCAGAAGGAATTACTATGAGCTTTGTCCCTTCTCCAAATACCTTGATCCATCCTGAGCTAGCACATTGGTTACAGCTTCTACAAAAATCTGAGGTTACAGCTTCTCCTAAGAGTCATGACATGACAACCAGTTAAACCATTTTGTAAAGACAATCTGATAGCTTGAGTTCCTTTGAAAGTCCTTCAGTACAGGTTTGTGGCATCTGATATTTCAAAAGTTTTCCTTAGATAAATGGATACAAATAGCTATTTTCTACTAAGGTGTTATCATTGAAATATGGTAATAGAAAAATGAAAGGATAAGAAAGTGAAAGTTTGAAATGAATAGGAGCAAATGGTCAACCAACTTTTACAAACTACCGAGAAAACGTATTCAGAGAATTAAGACTCTCATATTCCCAGGTGTTCAATTGTGTGGAACTGTTCAGCTATTGCATCAAAGGGAAGGCCTTTCTCACCAGCAAGCCTGCTGCTCTTGTTACTTAGCAAAGTATTTCTGAAAGGAGGAAATGCTTCAGTAACTGAAAATGCAAAAATGCCACATGAATATATTTGAGAAATGTGAACATCATTCTCAATTTTTAAAATTGATGTAACACTGGCATATAAAAATGTGTAAGTATTATGTATACAGCTTTATACTTCAAAACTTATGTATATATTAAAACATGATCATTACCAAAAATCTAGTTCCCATCCACTCCCATCATAGTTTGCTTATTTGCTAACATGCTCCTTCATTTTTCTTTACTTTATGTACAGTTTTATTTTGCATTTTGCTATTTTTTATAGTTTTTTTATTTTTTATTTCCAGAGCTAACCTTAAATTACAGCTTATATATTGTAAAAGGGTATAGCTACCTTTTTATACTGTTCCATAAGATTCTTACATTGACATCATTTTTCCTAATTATGTTCTTTTGGGCTTTTGTGTTATTTCCACTACTCTATCTTCTGTCTTAATGATTCTTTCCTTGACCTCATTGAGTCTGCTTGACATCATTGAGCTCCTTTCTGTTTATTATTTGTTTCTGTGATTTCTGATTGAAACTTTAGTCATATTTTCTTTGTCCAATTGTAGTTCTTATTTTTTTGTCCACTACTCTCCTAAGTTTACTATGCATCATTAAGACTGTAATTAAGAATATTGCTCGAAAATAAAGAAACAAAAATGAATGTACTTTGAAGTATCCCATGAAAGTTTGATTAATTTTGTTGCAATAGTGTTTTTTCCTGAGAGTCTGTCATGATCTATCAATTGAGTATTTGTTCTTCTGCTTCTTTATGATGTCTGATGCTCTGCTATTACTTCTATGAATTAACGTAAGCTGTTTTCCTTCTGTGCTTCTTTTATTTCCTGCTGTCATGTTCTTGCATTAGAATTTTGTTCCAAGATTCTTAGCCTTAGAGGCTTTGCTTTCTGTTGTTACATTAACTAAAATCTCATCACCAGTCAAGATGACTGAAGCTCAAGAGCTCAACCGAGTGATAGTCCAAAACCCAGCCCATAGGGCATGGGGCAGATGTGTGGGGGGATCTGGTGGCGACTGTGGTAGATTGCCAAGGGCAATTGCTTTCCTTGGTGCTTCAGACACTGAAGCTGAGGGATGGATATGCAGTTATTGTCTAGAATGATCAAAGTAAACCAGTAGTCATGTTCTCCTAGACCCCCAAAGTCCAACCTATCCTCCAATTGCAACATATTTCTTATCTGAGCAGGTCTTTTTTCCTGAGATTCTGATATGCATAATGGCCAGGAGGCTATGGATCTGGGCCACAGGCAGTAACTGCAAGAGCTTTCAGATTTCAGTGTAGTTGAGCATCAAAATGCCTGCCAAACCCAAACAAGAGAAGGGGTGTTTCTTCTTGGGGCTACCAAGCTAGCTGCCAGCAGTTCCAGGTGTTACCAGCTCAGCATCAGCTTAGAAGTCAGCATTCCTTATGGTAAGCAGTATTGCCTGCTCCGTGGTACACAAGTTGCTCTGGGGAATTCAGGGAGTACGGACAGTGCTGGAGAAGGGTCCCTTTAGGGACTACCAAGCTAGCTACTGGCAGCCACTGGTGTGTCAATTCCATGCCTAACCAATAGCCAGTGTTTTTTTGGAGAGGAAGTTGTCTAGGAGCCAAGAGAAAACCTGAAAGTCCTTCTGGGCAAGGGACAGATGACTTTGGAACTACTGATCTAGCCTCCAGCAGCCTAAGTCACTTGATGGCTTGCAGGTCATTAGTAGATGCAACTGCCTTTTTCATGGATAAAAAATCCAGGGAAATCCAGGAGTCCAGGGAAGGGTTGGATGATTTTAAGATGCCTAGCTAACTCCTAGCAGCCATAGCAAAGTAAGACCCATGCATTCCTAGTCATTAGTTTTCCTTATAATAAGAAGACTTACTCTACTGGGCAAGAAGCTGAGGTAAGTAGGGTGTTTTTTGTTATTGGTAGCAGTTTAAGGCTGGTTACTGGAATATGCTTCCATGCTTTTCCTAAGTACAAGTAGAGAAGACTCCCCTATATTACATGCATTAAAAAATCCCAGGGATTCCAGATCTGACCACTGCACCCAGCTTCAGGAAGGCTCCTCCCAGCCACTATTGCATTAGTTAGAGACACATATGCCTACCTAATCTGGAGCCCCCATGCCCATTCCCTGCTTTCATACAGTCATGGCAGTGGAGGTGACAGCTGTACATTCTGCCATGGCTGTGTTTGTGACTTGATTTCCCTCTCCTGGCTGCCTCAAGACCAGGGGATTTTCTGCCACCCAACTTCAATACTCCAGCTGTGTGAGTAATCTGGTGTCCTCCAGTGATAAGCTGAAAGGAGAAGTATGAGATTTTACATATTTTTCTGGATAATTATAGGGAGACATCTTCCAAAAACAATTTATTCTACCACATTTTCTGAATGTATGCAGCTCTCCATTTTTAAATAAAGCTAATGTTACCATTTGGTAACACAGTTGTTTACCAAGCAATGGCAGATGAGAAAATTTTTGTGCTGACATTTTTCATGTAATGAAAAAAGAAATGTCTAGAATTTTAGATCTGTTGAAATAAAAGATTTCTCATTTAAACTAAAACTCAAAAACAAAATCGAGAAATCTTACTGTTCCTCAACTTAAACAAGGGGATAAAGAAATGTCCAGAAGAAGCTTAATGTTCCTATGAGTTCAGAAGAGTTGACTACTTCAGGACCCAAAAAGGAAATACACTGACACCTGTCCTCTGTCTTTCCTGTTGTAACACCATGGGCAGAATCATCAGACATTTTAGCACCATCTACATGTCAAGATCCATTAAGAATTTAAGCAATAAAATGCAAGAACAAGTAAAGAGTCGTAAAATCTTTTACATTTATAAAGTATATATGAATAAAATAAGATCTTAGTAAAAGGCATGAAATAAAACTGAATGAAGGAAGAGAAATGATTTATTTCTGAAGGAAAAATTCAGTATCATAGAGATGTGAATCTTTCCTAAATTCATACATATATATGTATAAATTCACCACAATTCAAAGTAGAATAAAATTTTATTTTTGGCCTAAAAATCGAGTTGGCTTGTTAAGTTGATATGAAATTACAATAGGAAGAATAATGTAAAGTAATTGAGAAGTATTTTTTGAAAGATAATAGTGAATAGATATTTGTCAAAACATATATTCACTCATTATAAAGCAACTGGCTATAATAACAATGGTGTAAAAATAATGAAATATAAATTAAACATAAATCTTCCAGAAAGAGTTTAAAATGTTTTAACATTAAAATATTACATGGTATTTTAATTTGTAGGGATATATTTATTTAATAGTTGGTTTTGGATTATAGATGATCCACGGTGGGGGGGGGGAGGAATAAACAACTCTCTAGCTCACAGCATAAAAACTAGGTTCCATGTAGATTAAAATTTAAATTAAGAAACATCTAAAGATGTGAGCTAGGTAGACCAAGTAGAAGACAGTTGTGTTCATTTGGGAGAGTAGCTTGGAATGTGAAAGGGGTGAGGAAACTGTTACTTAATACTTAGGAAGAGTTTTTACATTTCAGAATAGTTTCAAATAAACATTTATTAAAAAGAAATAAGAGGTTAGAATTCCTCCTTTCAGGAGGAATAGTATGATTAGATTTGTGTTTTAGGAAGAGAAATGTCTCAACAGAAAGCTTTGTTGCTCAGGTGAGCAATTCTGGTGAAGTGAACATATTTCCAAGATGCTCATAGAAACCACTAAGGTATCCAAGGACCCATGTTATTATATTCACAAGGGTAATAAATATTGACAAATGGATTAGAGTTTTTAAATGATTCACATGTAATAAACTAAAATAAAATAATCATTAAGAAGATTGAAAATGTAGAAAAATAAATTTCATTCTCTTAAAGTTATTTATGTTACTGAGGAAACTTCATATTTTTTTATGAGTTGGGTTCATACCTCTTCAAATGCAGTTACCACACCAGGCTTACTACCTAAGACCAGTTACTCTCCACCACAATCCACTCAGTCCCTTTCCTCTCTCCTTCCTGCCCCTTTCCTCTTCTGGTAACCTCAGTTCTACATTCAGATTTCTAAGGTTTGATTTGGTTTAGTTTTGTCTGTTCTTTGCTTTGTTTCTTTATATTACATGTATGAGTGAAATCATTTAGTATTTGTTTTTTGCCTTCTGGCTTATTTTGCAGTCCTGCCAGTTCCATCCATGTCACTGAGATGTGGAACATAAACACAACTGAATACTACTTAGCAATAAAAATGCATTTTTCCCAAATATACATTATGCGCACACACACACACACACATATTTATGTATGCATATTGCGTATATTGCATCATTCTTCTTCCTTTTTGTTCAAGGTATGCTTTCTCCTCTCAGGTGTAGTCTCTGTATAATTCCCACCACCAATTTTCTCGTGCACCATCACCATATTCTCTTGTGCTCTTCCATCCCCCTTTTTGACCTCTCCCCCTCCCTATCCCCTGAAGTGTGTCTTCAATTTACCATTGTAAAAAAAAATATATATATATATATATATACACACACATATATATACACATATACATACATATATATATAAAAGATTTATTTATTTATTCATACAGAGCTGGAGTACAGGCCAGAGATGCGGGGACAGAGTGGGGAGCAGAACAGGCAGATCTACAAAGTACACTGCTGAGGGGAGCAGCCGACAGGTCAGCAGAGGTCTGCCACGCCATGTGGTCTCCTCCCGGGCAGGCGGGGATAGAACTCATGCGGAAGTGTTTTAAGCTTCTTAGTGCTGTGCTTTAACCCGCTGCACCACCAGGGAGGCCGTAAAATATATTTACAGTCAGAAACATCAGGTTCAAGTTCCAGTTCTCCCACTCTGGCAATGTGTGCTTGTCAAAAATTCCACAACCTCAAAATAAATGGATAGGAGTATCTGCTTCTCAGGGTTTTTGTAAGATTCATTTGAAATAATGCAGATGATGCAAACTTTCAGTGACAAAGAAGTCCCATTATAAAAAAGACTAGAAACATCCTAGTCTTGTGTACCAGAACTAATGACTCTGCTCTTAACTGCTTTACACCACAAACATATATGCACACACATACAACTCTCACTCACCTCTTTGTTCTGAAGAAGGTAAATCCTCCTTAAAACAGGGTAAGGAGGAGAAGATTAAATATATAAGCAATAAACAATTCTATAAGAAGTCAAGTACAGCTGAATTGCTTGTAGTTTTGAATCACTTTTTTCAGGCTTGATGATAATTTCACAATTACCAACTGCAATCAATTTTGGTAGATCATCAAAAGCTATGAATCCTGTGCATCATTTAAACATTTGGTCACTATTTTGAAATAAAACAATAACTCATTCATTATTGTCACTGATTTATCTTTTAGAGATTTAGAAAACTTTTGATTAAATCTAGTACTTGAGTAGTTCTGACAAGAAAGGCAGCTAAGACTGTTAAAGCAAAGAAAACCTATTATCTGACATAAGCAGAAAATAGAATTAAATACTATCTGTGAGTCATTAGCTCTCATAGCCTTATACAATGCACAGTGATCCCACCCACTGCTTACTCTATGTCAGATATGTTTCCATAGATACAGAGGGTTATTGGAAAACTCTGAGTTTACTTGTTAATAAAAACAAAGGGAAGTGTTGGAAGACACCAAGTCATTTATTTTCAGTCAAATTCTCGATAACAACTTTAGCAATTTTATCATCTGTCTTCATTTTGAATTTGATGACTTCTAGTCTCTTAGGGCTTCTTTTGCACTTCGGTAATTGGCGTGTCACTATGTACAGCAGATTCTTCTTCCTTTATGTAGCACCCACAAGCAAATAAGTTGGCCATGCATTTGTTTCTTTTCATTTGTTCTGAAAAGATAAATATGAAAAAGACACTTGAGTGGAGGAAATTTGTTTCTCCCTGGTATACTTAGAAAAACCCCTAAGCTACTGAGCAAGGCTGGTAACCCCTCTAGGGAAAGGAGGAGGTTTCCACTCTACTCTCTGACTTCCTGAAAGGGGCTGCTGGAATGTAGGGGCCTAGCAGGGCTATCCTGTGGACTTTAAAAAGGGGCCAGGGAGGCGGGCTGCTCTCTTTCTGCCCATGGCTCCAACTTGCACCCAGTCTGCTCTGTAGACATAGTGAGTTTCACCACAGGTGGCTCCCACGGTTTTCTTCATGAGGCTCCAGTCTGTGCTCAGCAGGGACTATCTGAAGGAGGACAGATAGAATCTGATGACATCTAGCCAATAAATTTTCCTTTCCTTTTTCTTCCTCTCATTTCCCCCTTTTCCTTACTTCTATATAAGTGAATGCTTATTTTTATTCTTTCTGTGTGCCTGCTTTTGAGGCTGTTCCAACATTCTTTCTTTTATTAAAGATGTATTTGTTTGTGCATACAAATATAGTCCAGAGATGCCGAGGATAACAGGGTTCACTAGAGACAACGGCAGATGTACTGAAACACACTCCTGAGGGGAGCAGCAGGTGGGTCAGGAGAGGTCTGCTGCACCATGTGGGTCACCTCCCTGGCCAGGGATTGAACTCAAGCTGTAGTTGCTGTGCAAAGTTTCATAGTGCTGCGCTTTAATCTGTTGCACCACCAGGAAGGCCCTGCCTGTCCCAGCATTCTGAGTGCAGGAGGTGAGGACTGCCAAACCAGATTGTTCATTTAACCCCAGGATTATTCCATATCCATGCAAGATCTCAAGTCATGACTTTGTTTTCTAGAAATAAAGATGGAATCTGCTATGAATTAGGCATCACCCATGTGTTTATCTGTTTTCAGCTTCACATATGAAATGGTTTATCACTCAAAATAGTAAAATAGAAAACTGAAAGTTAGGGAATTCAAACTGGGTAGAGATGATGTGAGTTGAAATTTGCAAGATTTCAAACTTGTTCTTTCTACTACATCACACATACTGGGTAGAGATGAAAAGATGTATGAAGTAGGAAAGTAGTTTCCAGGCCTGTATAATATAGAGCATCTGTATCTTAAATGTTCAAATACTAGATATTGGGTGTTGCTTTACAAGAATCACAGGAAATATCAAACCAAATATAGAGCAGGTAAAATGGTTTCTTGAAAATCCCCAAAACAACAGGTAATCCGTACAAACACATCATAAAAGAATCTGTGAGAATTGGATCTAGTGTCATCTACCTACCCCACAAAAATCCCACACCTCAGCTTCCTTTCACTTGTCCCTGAGCTGCATTAGGAGATAACAATGTTCACAGAAGCTTTTGGGTCATACAGTTCAGAATTATATTAGTATTAAGATTGTTTATTTATGTCAGGGGCTTCACATGTAAGTTGGAAAGTGAAGAGTTTCTAAACAAGCATTAAGTTTGAAGAGAGAAGAGTGGGAGTTCTCCACAATAGATCCTAAAAGTTTGGGTTCTGCCCTCTCTCTTGACAGCAGTTTCAGTCTCCAAAGGTGCTAAAGGAGTTTGATCTGGTGTGGCTTAGTTTCTGGCAGATGAAACCATAGTTTCCAGTGTCTTCTCTTCTTTAAGATATCAAATAATTGAAACTTGAACTTTAAATCTTTTTTTTTTCTCATTACCATAGGAAATAAAAGCCATGAGAACACCTGCTTGACAAAGCATCCTTGTCATTGTTCAAAATGGCACAATGCACCTGTGTTTTTACTGAGTAGGGGGGGATTAATACTGATGGTGAGAATTGGCATCAGGCATTGGGATCAGTACTTTTCTTCTTGCTACTTATCAGACTTCCAAGAAGAGAGGCATTTCAGTGTAATGTTATGGTATAGATTTTGCTATTATTACTGGATTTTTTTTTGTACTTGTGTTCTCAACGTGTGGCAGGTACACATGTGGACGTGAAAAATGTCCTAAGTCAATCTCTAAAGTGTAAAGTCACTCTAATCAAGTGCTAATAATACTCTGACTCAAATAAGTGAGAGCTACCAAACTTGAAAGTAGATGGTCATCCAGTTGGGACAGATCTCATGTATGGGGCTGACCCGCTGGGACTGATACCATGTGTGAGAGTGAAAAGCAGGGAATTTGGCATTTGGTTCTGGAGGTCATTCGGTACCTGGTTGAGAATTGACAAATACATTTTTGTAGAAACATATATATCATTTCCTATATGCCAATGCGTTTGATATGTATGTCAGGGAAACTATTCTAATGATTGGGGACTTCAGAGGAGGAAAGGAGCTATAGAAATGAAGAGGAGTGCATAGCCATAGGAAAAAGCAGGTGGTAAGTGAAAGGGAGACCATTCACTGGTGACCTCTATTCCTTCTCAACAGAATGACCATCCCAGACTTTGCCTATATAACAAAGCTTATTGAGTCCTGAGGATATAATTTATGGAGACAAGACATTATCATAGCATCCTTCCAAGAAGAGAGGCATTTCAGTGTAATGTTATGGTATAGATTTTGCTGTTATTACTGGATTTTTTTTGTACTTTTGTTCTCAACGTGTGGCAGGTACACATGTGGACATGAAAAATGTCCTAAGTCATAGCACCCTTTCGAAATAAGTGCAACTTTGTTAAAGGAATTTCAACACTGACCACAAGAACAGGAAGAAAATGCACTGGACTGACAAGCTAAGATGCAGGTGTAGAATTACTTCTGTGTTTAACCAGCTTTGGACCAGCCACTTGCAACCTGTGGGCCCCAGCCTCCTCATTTGAAGTGGAAGCATTGGGCTAAATATGCCACAACGGCCTTTCCTGTCCCAACAGTCCATGAGCCTCTCATTAACATGAACCTATGATTAAAAAGTCTGCTGTGGTCGTTTGAGTGTGAAAGGAGTTGAGGGTTCGTAACAGAGAAAGTTTTCTTACAGGTCCCTCCCAACTCTGTGAAATTGTGAGATCCCAGCAGGCACAGTAATAAGTAGCTTCATCGGACTTGCTGACATTATTGATGATCAGGTAAAAGTCTCCATCATTTTTCTTGTCTGTTTCCAAGTGGGAATTGGGTTTGTCTTGCTTGAAATTCTTGGCTGAACCATAGAGAATCCGTGTTAGGGTTCCCCATCTTTTTGCTAATACCATTGCACAATGGCATGCTCAAGAGGAACCCCTGACAGTTTGCAACTTATATATACTGTTTTATTTGTTTTTCAGGTAAGAGTGAGTTGGTTTTGAGATAATCTTATTTTGGTGTCTCCACCTGAAAAGTAAGGGAGAGAAATAAGAGAAGCTGAAAAAGGTTGTGTCTGAACACAAAAACAACAAAAGATAAGAAAGGAAAAAAGTTAACCTACAAACCCATGCAAAAGTCATAAGGAAAATCCAAAGAGTTGACACTGCCAGAGTTGAGTCAGAATAGACACTACTAAGGGTTTGGAGCAGGACTCAGGATGTAGTAACAGAGGAGGGAGTTTCTGTTAAGTCTTTCTGTTCTGTGAAGGGAGGATCAGGGGAGGGAGGTTTGTTTTAGAACCAATAAAATTCCTCGGGAAGGTCAGTTGCAATGTGACTTTATCCTGTTTCTCTATAAATGATCTATCGTATCTCAGAAGACCTCATTTGAACACTTCTTTGATTCAATGTTCACTTCCCCTTAGATGATTTGCTCCAATTTTCCATTTAACATGCTTCAGATATACCTATCCTTGAGCTCTTTTTCACTGCCAATCTATACATTTTTCACCACATTTTGTGTGTGGGGGGGTAGCTATGTGTGGTTTCATGAAAGCTGGAAGGAAAGTACCATAATTGTTTCACAACTGAGATTATAATCTCATTTTATGCAGAAGCACATACATTTTGTAGATAAGTAATTTTCAAGAGTTGAAGGAGTTGGATCAGTATTTACAGTAACTGTGGTTATTTTTAGTTATTATGCCTTCTCTATACTCTTCTATGAATAAAGAAAGATTTTGAAGGAGAAAAGTTCACCTTGGTCTGTTACTCTTCACCGTTTTCCTATTCAACAATGCTTAGTTTCTCATAATCAAAACTATGCTTTATCATTGTTTGAAGAACAATGTAAGATGTAATTTCTAGAGTTATCGAGTTCCTATTTTAGACAACACGGTGACATTGTTTAGTCATAATGATTTTTCACACACTATGACACAATTTTCATATAGGAAACCGCATTCAGTTCTCAGCAACTTTAGAGGTTGTTAATATTATGCCCACTTAAAACTGGGAAAAATGCAAATAGCTTAGTGAGTTTTTCTAGATCACGCTGACAGTGATTGGGTAAGCAAGAACTTTAAACATATTCAATGTCACTCAAAAGGACTTTATACCTCATCTTTCGTTCATTCATTAGTTCAAAGTCCACAATGTTGAGTACTGGATTATGGATTAATTCCCAAGTGGCTTCTATTAGATAGCAAAGCATAGAGAATTCCAGGACACTTTAAAAAGTCAGCCTAATCTCCAGAGAACTGAGGCTAAATGCCAGTGTGACCTATTTGAAAAGGAACTTCAAGAGTGGGTCCATGGGGTTCTTGCTCAAACACATGCAAGAGAAAGGCTCTGTGCACATTGGTCAGGTTCCTCTGGGGTGGGAACAGGGCGATGTGTGTGTGTGTGTGTATGTGTGTGTGTGCATGCGCAAGCCCAGTGCCCATGCGCGCCCACGTGCCTCAGCACAGGAGGGTTTTTGTTCAGCGCCCCTGGAGCACGTTCATGCTGTGTATCCCAACATGCACAGTAATACAGCCCTGCGTCGGACTCGTTAACTCGGTGTATCCTGAGGCTCGCTGGCAAATCGTCGTGCCGTTTCTTTGCTTCATATCTTTCCTCACTAATACCTTGCTCATGGACAACGTTTTCATTTGACGATATATAGAGAATTCGCTGTAGAGGCTGTTCTGGCTTCTGTCGGTACCAGTGGACATACACATTCTTCTTGAAGGCTTTTGTGTTTATTGGGCACTCAAGAAATGCTGTACTTCCTTTTCTCTTGGTAATAGATATTTTGATCTGTGATAGTAAATTATTGCCATCTGTATCTGAAAGGAGAAAAGTTAAAATTAGCGAAATCTTCAGGTTTATTAAAATAATATACATTCATTTGCTATTCGTGAAAAGCTTGCAGTCTGAGTTCTCTATTTTCTATCTGAAAACTTCAGGGTCATGGTGGAATTTATTAGTTTAATTTGAATCACCATGTGTTTCTTCCTGTGGAATGAGCTGATTGCACCCTTTCATTTTGTTCCCGTAAGGTGAATGAGCTATCCCTTGGGTTAAGTTACTCACACATCCAAAGGAAGGCCACCAGGATGGCCTGTGGCAGAAACAGCATCCCGATGGCGCCTGCAAGAAAGGTGATTGAATAAAGAGATGATAGCAGAGGAAATCTGAGAGTGATTTCATAAGAGGGAGTGGCAGCACTCAGAACACACATCTAACACCTACAGACTGCAGGAAAATAGGCTCCTGGAGTTTCCCCTAAACATCCTGCAGAAACAGCTCTGCAAATTTCTCAGCAAATCTCACCTTACTTTGTGCTTTGCAATTTATATTTAGAGTCTTCATATGTGTCATCAGATCATGTTTGTATAAAGAAGTGATTTTCTTGTGATCTAGCTTTATACACTACTTAGACAAACCAATCAAAGGAAACATTTCTGATTGTTTTATTATTGAAAGTTACCATCAAATGGGAGCCACAGCAAGCTGTCGGTGGAGTACTCTAACATATTAAAAACACAAAAAACCAAAAAACACTGCTGTCTTCTATTATTAAGGCATATATTCAATACAAATCATAAAGGATCTCTAATAAAAGAGAAATTTATCACTCTGTCCCATCACCAAGGGATTAGTACTGTTAATAATTTAGTATGTTCCCTAACATATTAATTTCTGCTCATTTGAAAATATTGTTATACATAGGTATAATAATACTGTATGTTCAATTATATGCACTATCTTTACTACTTAATACATCAAAAACCAAATTACGTGCTGGGAAAAAAACAAAGCAGAGAGGCTGTTTATAATAGGTTTTTTAAATTTCAAACCAGGAAAAAAGTTTATAGAAGCAACAAATCACAAGTTCTTCACAGGCTAAGACCTTTTTATGGAGTAAAAACAGAATTTATGTGAACTTTTCAGCTGATTGTCTATTGATCTTTCTTTTTTGGGTCAGGGAAGCTGAGTTAGGGGAACAAGTAGCCAAGAGATGGTATGGGGAGACTTACTTGGCACTTAGGAATTTACTGGTGTTCTCTCTCGTTTTGGTGAGAAGAGCTGTGAATCCCTGTAAGTTTAGGTTTCCTTATACACTTTTTTGAATTATGTCTGTTCAGTCCTTGATATCACTAATTCTATTTTAGTTGACTTTACCTTGAGAACATTTTCTACTCTGGAAGTACATCTTTCAGTGTTCTAGCTCTTAGAAAGATTTCCTTATTCACCATTACAATGGCCATCAGATCCATCAGATCACCCAATGTTCTAAAGCTCTTACTCATTTTACATGGCCACTCCCACAAAAGGAAACAGCAGAACAAGAAATGCCTTACTTAATTTATCACTCTGATTTTGGACCATTATTAATTATGCTCCCGCTGCTCACTTGAGGCTCTCTCAAACCCTGTGACTACTCTCTGAAATACCTTTATTGTCTGTTTACCCCTCACTATTCCATCTCCTTTCTGTCCTGCTAGTCAACATGTACATTCCTAATAAACTAGTTATATTGAAATCATGAGACACAATTTCTGGGTATCCCAAAGTAAGACAGGTTTTTTGTGTCCTTTTATCTCCTGTCAGGTGGCTTCTCAATATAGTTATTGCAGTTCTTTGTCCCAGGAAGCCATAAGTACCAATGAATTTTCTGCTGTAAACATACCTCTCAGAAATACTGTGAACTCAGTATCAGAACACTAAAATGAAGCAACTGACACAATGAACTGAGTTAAACAAATATTGCTTTTCCACAGCATGAAAAGGTCATGTTTAGACTATACTGCAAGTTATTAAGCATGTGATGGCATTATGTCTTAAAAAACATATATATCTTAACTAAAAATTGTTGTTAGACATACTGATCATCATTTGAGCATTCAGCAAGTCCTAATCTTTTTGCTGTGGAGAATTTTGCTTTGATATTGATGGCTACTCACTGATTAGTGTGGGGGCTGCTGAAAGTGGATTACTGTGGCCATATCCTTAAGCAAGACTCTTTCAAGGAAGGTTAGTTGTCCCATCCAAGTGCTAATCAGGTCCCATCCTGCTTAGCTTCCAAGATTAGTCTCATTCAGAGTGGTTAGCAAGTGATGCTATCTTACAGCATTTCTCCACAATAGAACTTTCTTCAAAATTGAAGTCATTCATTTCAAAACTAAATTAGTTTTGGTTCTACAGCCTTTGCTGTCTTCTCAAAATTGTTGACAACATCTTTACCAAGAGTAGTTTCCAGAAAAAAATACTCAAAAACTACTTTTCTCTGCTCATTCATAAGAAACAACACATCTGATAAAATTTTATCTAAAGTTTGCATCTTGGGTTCATCAAGATACAAGATTTTATCTCAAATTTTATCTAAAGTTATCTCTAGCTGTTTCTTCTATATCTGCAGTTTGTTTCTCTGCTGAGCTTTTGAACCACTCAGTCATTTGTTTGATATTGACTTCTTCCAAACTGCTACTAATGTTAATATTTTGACTTATTCTCATGAAATACGAGTGTTATCAATAGTATTTAGAAGAGTGAATCCTTCCCTGGAGGTTTTTTAATTGACTTTACCCATATCTATCCTACTATGAAGCTATTTTGTTGACAGTGAAAGTCTGCTGATGAATGGTACCAACTTCACTGGTCATTAAGTGTTCTAGATAACTTGCTACAGATTCTACATTAGTGCTTGCTGTTTCATCTTGCACTTTTAAATTCTGGAAACCATTTCCTTTCATTAATCCTCATGAACCAACTTCTGCTGACTTCAAATTTTGGGGGGCAGCTTCCCTACTTTTCTCAACCTCATAGTAACAGAAAGAGTTGGGACCTTGCTCTGGACTAGGTTTTGGGAGAGGTTGTGGCTGGATTGATATTATAGTCAGACCACCAGAGCTATTCTTTTGGTTACTCATGTGTTCAATGGATAAACACTTTCAATTTTGTTCAAAAACTTTTCCCTTGCACTCACGTCATGGCTAACTGAGGTAAGTGGTCTAGCTTTGGGTCACTGCAATCTTTCAACATGCCTTACACATTAAGCTTAATTATTCATAAACTTTGACTTATTTTCCTTAGGTTAAAAGGAGTTCTTTTGCCAATCACTAACACAGCTATAACATTTTAAATTATAGCATTATGTTTTCATATGTTTCAGCCACCCTCCACCAAAGTCCCAGTGCCATATTCAATCCATTTCTCTCTACTATTCCCTTCTCGCTCCACCTCTATCTCTAGTCTCAGGATTGTTTTTGCTGTCTTGTCAGTTTACTTTCTTTTAAGTTGTGAAAATATGTAAAACCATCCAGTAACTGTCTTTCACTTTCCGACTTATTTCATTTAGCACAATTACATCACATCTGTTTTGTCCCAAAGACACTACTTCAACTTTTTAAAATTATTTTTTATTTTTTTACATCATTCTTCATTTTGTGTATTTTTTCATCTCAGTTGTAATCCCCATGGGCTTCTCACCACCAATTTACCCACGTACCATCACCATAGTCCTGTGCACTCTTCCCACCCCAGTTCTGATCAGCTGAATAGTTGTCCTCAAGGTTTATATTCCACACTTACTTTATACATTATCTGTGTTGAGCATTTGTTTGGCTCCATTACTTGGCTATTGAGAATAATGATGCTATGAACATAGGCGTGCATAGGTTTTTATCAGTGTTTTTATATTCTTTGGGTCAGTGCCTAGGAGTGGCATTGCTGAATTATGTGGAATTCCCACTGTATTTTTGAAGAATCCCCATATTATTTTCCATGGTGGCTATACCAAGTTACATTACTCTCAACAGTGAAAGAGTGTTCCTTTTTCTCCACATCCTTGACAAAGTTGTTGTCTTTTTTATATAGGTCATTTTGACAGGGTAGATATCCCATTGTGATTTTATTTGCACATCCCTCAGTGTGACATTGATTTTTTTTTTAATGTGCCTGAATATCTTCTGGGGTGATATGTTGATTTAATTATTTTGCCCATTTTCTTAAATTGGGTTGTATTTTGTTTGTTTTTGTTGAGTTGAATAAGTGCTTTATATATTTTATAAACTCCATATTAAGCCTCTTTCCAAACACTTTATATACCCTCTTTATAAACCCTTGCTGGACATATGGCTTGCAAATATTTTCCCTCAGACCGTAAGTTGCCTTTTAGTTATTACAATGATTTCTTTCATAGTAAAAAGCTTTTTAATTTGCTGTAGTCCCATTTTTCTTTTTTCTAGTAGAATTGTATTGTGGGGCCCTCCCTGGTGGCACAGCAGGTTAAAGCACAACACTAAGAAGCTAAAGCCACTTCAGCATGAGTTCAAATCCCTCCCCACAGGTGACCCACATGGCATGGCAAACCTCTCCTGACCTTCCTGCTGCTCCCCTCAGCAGTGTACTTCATCATTCTACCTGTTCTGCTCCCCACTCTGTCTCTGGTGAATCCTCTCACTGCCCCTACACCTCTGGCCTGCACCCCAGTTCTGTATGCATAAATAAATAAATCTTAATAAAACATACATTGTGGATTTTTGTGTTTTCAATCAAATTCTAAAATTTATTGTAGTTCCTTGAAAAATGACACTGGGATTTTGATCGCTTTAAAATTTTAAATTGCCATAGGTATACAACCATTTTACCAATGCTTAATTGCTCAATCCATGAACAAGGATATCTTTCCATTTCTGTTTTGTTTTATAATTTTCAGTTAATAGATACTTCTCTCCCCTATACCTCTGGCCTGTACCCCAGTTCTTGTATGCATAAATAAACAAATCTTTAAAAAACAAACAAACAAAAAAGATTAGTCTTAGCTCATTAGTTATAGACACCACACATTAGATGCCATTTTCCTGCTTAGTTTTCAGAGACAGGATATCCTGGTTCTACCACTTGTGGCCTCTGCACCTGTGTGTGAAGAATTTGGATAAAGCCCTCTTGCATGACTGCCTTAAATGGCCTGCAATGGCCCACATCATCAGGCAGCTGGGGACACAAGGCCATGGTCTTAGCTGGCCTGGGATTAGCTCAAAAATGACACCAAGTACCTCCACAGAAAGTTCCTTGTGTATGTGCCTGACATGTCTTTTCTGTTCCCCATAAAAATAATTACTTGGCCCTCCCTTGTGGCACAGCAGGTTAAAGCACAGCACTAAGAAGATTAAACCACTTCCACATGAGTTCAATTCCCGCCTTCCCCGGAGGAGATCCACATGGCGAGGCAGACCTCTCCTGACCCGCCCGATGCTCCCCTCAGCAGTATACTTAGTCGATCTGCCTGTTCTATTCCCCATTCTGTCTCTGGTGAATCCTCTCACCCTCCGCATCTCTGGCCTGTACCCCAGCTCTATATGAATAAATAAATAAATCTTAAAAAAAAAATAATAATAATTACCCTTCATGTCCCCTGGGTCCTGTCCTTTCTGCCTTTGTACTTTTTCAGTCATGCTTGTTTATTAATGCTAATAAGTAGCCTGAGGACAGATCATTGAGCATCAGAATCTTGCCTTGCAAACATGCTCCAAAACTGGTCCTTCAGCATGTCCCGGAGAACATGCTGCTATGTTCCTGACCCAACAAGAAAGGACACTAAAAGAAGAAACCAGTGCTCTATCCCCATTCACTAACTTAGTGACCACACACAAGTCAATAACCTCTTCATGCCTGTTCCTAATCTAGACATGTGCATCATGATAACACCAATGTCAACATTTTGTCACAAGAATGAGATGAATTAAGCATTTAGGGTTTAAAATGTGCCTGAGAAAGAGCAGTAGAAGCGAAAGACTGGCAGCTGTAATTCTGGTCAGGCTGACAGTAAAATCCTAGGAAAAGGAAGCTGATGGAGGAAGGATGTGGGCGTGACCTGAAGTTGGTTTTTGTATAGGTGATCTTGGTGATTCTAAGGCTGTGGTCCCAGACAGCACAGTAGTACACCGCCTCATCTTCTTTCTGTACAAAATTAACTTTCAAGGTTGATCTGGAAGTTGTAGGATCTTTATTTGCTTCCAGCTTTGTCTTCCCACCTATGTTCTTTGAAACAGATTGTGTTGTTGAGATGACATGTAAAAGATGTTCTATATTCTGGTCAGTTTTCTGTCGGTACCAGTGTATGTAATCACTGTTAAAATTTTTGGAAGTCACAATACAAGGTATATGGGCAGTCTTATCCCTTGTCTTGGAAATTGACATTTTAGGTTGCTCCAACTTTAACTGACCAACGCCAACTGCAAACAAGAAAATGATATCTGTATGAACAAGTGATATATAAAGAGGAGACAATAGAGAATTTTCTCAGTGTCTCCATTAGATGTAAATGATGGGGGGGGGGAGCAACTACAACTTACAAGCCCAGAGGGAAGAGAGGATGACAGCTTCCAGGAGAGGCATCCTGTTGACTGGCTGGCACCCAGGGACAAGGTAAGAAAGTGAGGTTCCGTGAGAGAAGGTTTCAGAGTGGGGCCAGTCTAGTGGCTCAGAGTGGTGGCTCAGAGAGTTTATTGGACTTGTTCTTGATGTGCTACATATATGAGTAGCTCTGTGGCTTCCTGAGCCCCATGGTGCAGACACAACTAGTAAGAATGCTCAAGGTCTGAGGAGAAATCCTTGGTATGAAATTATATATTTTGGGGTATTGGGGATGGTTGCTCTATGCACTCACCTGTTCCCCCTCAAATTCCAAATTGAGAGATTATAATCCAAACATGTGAAGCTATATGTGCTGTGTTTAGCAACTTGTTTAATCTTTCTGAAATTGGCAGTGATTAAAGACTTGCATACAAACTTGATTTTTCTTAAGTAAAACAAAAGAAATTCAGGAACTATAATACCCATTTTTCAATGTGCTGCATGCACAGTGGTGTATTTTTTTTTAAATAACTGTGGTATTAAACACAGATTAGACTCCAAGAAGTGAAATTTCATTTATATTGGGAGTGCCTTCAAGAATGGAATAAATACATCTTAAAAAAATAACTCTTTCCAGAGAACTGGTCCATTCAGACGGAGATCTGTTACTCTGTCATAGCTAGGAATTTTTTTTTATTAGATTAAATAAAAATCATCCATAAATGTTCTTAGAAAATGTTCATTTCCTTCTTTTATTCCAAGTTACTGATTCATAGTGTTCATCCTAAGCAAAACTTACACTTTTTTTTCAAAGTATGCCAGGCGTCCCTGATGCAGGTGGTTAATGGAACACACATTAAAAAACTGTTCTAGGAACTGTTCTAGGAATCAAGAGTTCTGGTAAAAAGTTAGACATCGCAAAGAACAAGAGACTGTACTAAATTATTTTTGTTGTTGTTGTTCTTTGGCATTATTTTCATGTTCTTATACAGTATGACAGCCATAACTTCTATGATTCAGTCTTAATATATTGTGTCCATTACCTGGTTATTCACCAAAGTGCCCTGTAATTTTAATTACTGAGAAAAAGTGATCTGGTAAATCTCACCCCCTTTAGTGACTTAGACAAGACATCATTCTGGTACACAAGTGCTTTAGTTTTACTTGTTTACGATATTACAGTTCTGGCTATGGGCATAACTATCAAATAGGGTTAATTAGAGTACACCAATCAGCATATCTATAGCAATCGCTTTTCTCCTTCACTATAGTAACAGGATTTCCACTATATTAACAGAAACATGGTTGGTTATGGTGAGAGAACAGCAATGTGTTTAAAAGAAAGGTTTTGGATACCATTTTGAGGTCTTTACAATACCTAAAGTTGTTTTGTCATCATCTCCATATTCCTGAATTAGGAACAAACTCCAGTACCAGATAATTTCTACATATCATGACTAGAGAAAGCAGTTCACTCAGCTAGCTTTCTCACATTGCTCTCCCAAGTATCTACCCCGATAGAGTAAACTTTGTCCAGGGAGCACACCTGGCTCCCAGGCCCAGGTGAGCTGAAAAGACGCTGCGCCTGGTGATTTGCCAAAACCTAGAGATGGCAGCTCAGACTTTAGGACAGTTTTAAGCCTCAGGGGATGGGGGAGAGGACAGACAGTGGACATAAGTTGGAGAATGTGAATTGAACTCATCTTTCTTTTCCTTCTGAGTACAGTGAAATTGGGCAGGAAGTAAGGGAGAGGTTGGTTCATCTGTGTACCACACTGCTCTCAGCAGACACAAGCAAGATTTTAGTGCAGTCAAGTGGAAATCTGAATCACTGTGTCTGTTCCAGGTGGCACAGAGAAAAATACCAGATCTCTTTGTTTGAGATTTCAGAGTAAAATCACAGTTCCTCCTTGAACCTTTATTAAGTAAGGGAGGATTGAAAAGAAGCATGACAGAAATGGATTATGTTGATATTGTATGTATTATTGCTCAGAATGTCTAGTTGGTACTTAGAGTGATTTGGATTAACCCAAAAGGGAAAATCAGTTATTACATAAATGTTGCCTACTGGTTAGATAGAAGGTACTCACAGCTAAACTCTATGAAAAAAAGACTCCAAAATAGTAGAGAGAACGTTGTTCATACCTGCCTAAGTGTGGGTAATTCTTGCACCCATGTGTCTCAGTTTTCCACCTATAGAACGGAGATAACAGTGCATGTATCTCTTGTGAGATTAAGTAGTGTGTACTTAAGATCTTAGGAAGCACTCTGAAGTGTTTGCATTCATTAAAATGTCAAACACTGGTTATATAAATAACATAATTAATCTAAAATTACTGAATTGAATCCCATTCTTCTAATGTCAGTTAAGCTTAGGTAATAACACACTACCAAGTACAAATGACATGAAGTATGACCAAGTGGCATCCTGCTGTGGTGGCAAAGTGCTGGGTCAAGAGAAATTTAACCTTCCCCCACCTAACATGTGCACCTTGACATGAGTTGGGGTGCCAGTGGGTACATTCAAGTTCTCCTTTAGCAGTCCTGTTCTGCCTAAGACTCTCAGTCCATACGTTCAGCACCCATCAAAAGACTAGCTGTACATGCACTCAACACCCTTCAGAACTAGTGGGATTCTGCATATCCTTGATAACAAGGGGAGCTGTCCTAGTAGGACAAGAGTTTGTATATGAGGGGGTAATGTAAAGGAACCCACAGATCCTTAAGAAATTCTCACTGGCTCCTGGAGGTTATCTTCAGTTAAAAAATTGCTTTTTCAAGATCATGCTTAGTGAGATAAGCCAGAAAGAGAAAGAAAAATACCGGATGGTGTCACTCATAGCAGGAGTATAATGGACCAGGCGAGAAAATAACAAAAATAATGAACAACCATATACCAGAGACATTCTGTGGGGGCAGAGTGGGGAATGGGATCAAAAATGGGGGGGGGAAGGGAGGGAAATGCACGGGACTATGGTGGTGGCACAGGGGTGATTTGGTGATGGGAAACCCGTGGGGATTACAATCGAGATGGAAAAAAAAATGTGCAAAATGATGTAAAAATAAACTTTGTAATAAAAAAATTGCTTTTTCATTTTTCATATTTGAAAAGCAAGTATTAATGATGGCTTGTAAAATACGGGTTCTGAGTTAGAGACACAAGCTTTAAAGTATGACAATTACTCTAGTGAAATTGAACAAATAATTTAAGCTCCTGAGTCTCGTAAACTGTATGCTAGCACTGTCCCTATCTAAATATTCTTAGAAAACTATAGAGATTGTCTGGTATGAAGTAGAAGCTCACCAACTCCTTATTCCATCCCCATCTGACCTCTCCACAGGGCACTGGATCCAGCAAGTGGTAAGCCAGTGCCTTTGTGTTTGTGTGTCCGAAAAATTTTAAAGAATAGTTACTAACAGTAGATACTCATTCTATGGATTGCATATAAAAGCACTAGTAATTCATCAAATTCCATAACTCCAGAATAGGGCTCTGGTCATTCATTTTCAGGTGAAGAAATGATGCACTAGATTCATGTAGCTCACCAGGCGGCACACAGGTATAAACAAAACCTCAGGATTCAAACCCAGTAGCCCCACCATGCAGGGCCTTCCTCCTCCTCCTTGCCGCCTGTCCCATGTTTGAGCAGCTGTCGTGGATTATGTGAGGATCAGGAACCACAGGGCTTCAGAAACACCAGTACACACAGTGCAAGGTGTGGTAGGCTCAGCCACTTGCCATGGGAGTGCCCCAAACCAAAAAATCTGAATCAAGCAGCTTTGCAGGAGAAGTGCCAAAACCCCTTCATTTTTTAAAAAAGAGTTATTTATTCATTTATGCATCAAGAACTTGGGTACAGGCTAGAGGTTCAGGGAGGTGAGAGGATTCACCAGAGACAGAATCGGGAGCAGAACAGGCCGACTGATGAAGTACACTGCTGAGGGGAGCAGCAGGCAAGACAGCAAAGATCTGCCACTCCATGTGGGTCATCTCCAGGCCAGGGATAGAACTCGCACCGAAATTGTTGTCTCTAGCTTGCAGTGCTGCATCCTAGCCTGCTGCACCATCTGGGAGGGCCTGAAATCCTTTCATTTTCTGTGGCTCTCCCTGAGTCGATGCTCCAAGAAAGAACAATAACAACTATCTCTGAAAAGAACTAGAAATATTTGTTTGCTACTGTAACATTCATTGCTGAACTTGAGAGCTCAGTTGTCATGCTGTTTCTTACAGTCAACTTTCAATTAGATGTTATCAAATTAAAGGACACATAGACAACGTTACTTTCATTTTTTATTTGTTGCATCTCTTATGTAAGCAAAACAAAATTCAAGAGGCAACTATGGCAGCTTCAGGATGTATAAGATGAAACATTTCAAAATAGAATTGAAAATTTAAAAAAAATAACATATAATACAGAAGATTAAACATGTCAAAGCAATTATATGGTTAATCGTTTTGGAAGCTGCATGTGGTCTATACTCAGAAGACAGGATAGTTGGGCCAACAGGAGGTGTTCATGAGATTACAGAGACAGTGCTACTAGACAAGTTCCTTGGCTTTTGGGGATATTCCTCAGCTCAGCCCCTGATGAATGGCAACATATTCTGTTATTACTGAGTAAAATTTTCTCATTTCCCAGTTTTTTTCATTTAAACTGGGGGGGGGAACTATGTAATAATAACATAATAAACATATACAAGAAGAGAACAAAATTAATCCAAACTCAGAAACACAGCCCTGCTGGATCCTCAGCAGACACTCTCAGGGACAATAAGTGGTAGCAAAAGTTGAAGCCTTTGGCCACTATGTTATGGACTTTTTCCATAGCTCCAGACTCCTGCACTGAACAGACTGAAGGCGATGATGGCAAAGTAGACCATGCTCTTGAGAAGGAGGAGGACGTAGGTGTAATAGGCAGTAATGTAGTTGAGCTGAATCTGCAGTAGCCCTAAGAAAAGACAAGTGATTAGTTTCTTTTTTAATAATAGAACACATTGTACCACAAAAGAGACACTACACAAGCATCTTGTACAGCAAAAGAGATATCCCACTAATTGAGAGAAAATATTTGTACACAATACAAAGGACAAAGGACTGATCACAAATATATGCAAAGAATTGATGAAACTCAACAAAAATAAAGTGAACAACCACATAAAAAATGGGTAGAAGAGCTAAAATGATACTTCTCTGAAGAGGAAATGCAGACAACTAACATGCATATGAAACAAATGTTCAACATCAGTTGCAATAAGGGAAATCAAAATCAAAACCACAATGCTATACCATCTCACACCAGTGAGAATGGCACACATTAAAACAACTAGCAACAACAAATGTTGGTGAGGATGTGGAGAAAAAGGAACTCTCCTATATTGCTGGTGGGAATGCAAACTGGTCCAACCACTATGGAAAGCTGTCTGGAGACTTCTCAAAAAGCTAAAAATAGAGCTTCCATATGACCCAGTAATACCACTACTCACTATCTACCCAATAGACACAACAACATTGATTTTAAAGGAAACCTGCACCCACATGTTTATTGCTAAACTATTTACAGTAGGGAAGAGGTGGAATCAACCCAAATACCCAAAAGTAAATAATTGGATTAAAAAGATGTGTTACATATACACAATGGAATATTACTAAGCCATCAAAAAAAGACAACGATGAACTCATGCCTTTTGCAGCAACATGAATGGAGCTGGAAGGGATCATGCTTAGTGAAATAAGCCAGAAAAAAAAAGAAAAATACCAGATGGTTTCATTCATAGTAGAAGTGTAAGGAACCAAGGGATGGGAAGAGGGGGGAAGAAAAGCAAATGTAATAAAATAAAAATGAAAACAATGAAAAACTTTAAACCAGAGACATGTTATGTGGTGGAAAGGGGAATGGGATCAAAACTGGGGTAGGGAGAATGCACGGGACTATGGTGATGGCATATGGGTGAACTCGTGGTGGGAAGCCCACCTGAGGAATATAAGTGAGATGAAAAAACACACAAAATGAAGAATGTAGTAAAAATAAATAAAAATTTCTAAAATTAAAAATAAAATTAAAACAGTAATAAAACAATGTAATATAGGTAGGGTCACAATCATTTAATTCTGATCACTTATGCTGATGTGACATACCCCACCACCAAAAACCAAAGTAAACATCTACAGCTGTCACCACTATCTACCAGTAATGCCAAGAAACAGCAACAGATCCAGTACCAAGATCTGTTGTTACAATCTCAGCTACATTCATGTGGATTCTAAAATGGCAAGTAAAGTTTCATTTTAATGACAAATGTTAATAGAAAAAAAAAAGGCTAAATAGCTTTTATCTTCACCCAGTATGTACAGGTATTATCGCTAAGTAATATTAATATGTCACTAAACAAATACAGAACACTTATTTTGAAATATTTGCTTGTAAGTTTTTATTTTTATTATTTTTTTACCAAATCGATAAGATTAGTATCCTTTCCAGTTTTACAAAAAAGATGGTGAGAGAGAGAAGTAAGTTGCATGATGTGCTGCATTTACTTAGTAACAGAAACCAGACTTCAACAACACAATGTCAAAGAATATATTCTTGGCTACACTAATTATGTAACCCTAATTGAAATATATATCCAGACATGAGAAAAATAAACTTAAATACAAAGTTGTCAGACTGACTCAGAGGTCATTAGACACTTCATGCAGTAATACCCCCAGGAAGGGTAGAGTCCATGAAAGTACGATGGTGTCGACAGGGAACAGGGCAGGAGGTTTTGGTAAAGAGGTCATTGCATAAAATGAAAGAACGGTTAACCTAAGATCTCAAAAATTTAGGAGATTATGGCTCAGTCATATGTCTTTCATGCATGCCCTTCCATGTGCTATGATGTTACAGGATAATTGCACATATAGCTTTTCACACGTGGAAGGAAACCTATGTGGCGACAAACAGTAAGTGACAGCAAAGCTAGCCAGACTGGATCCTTCATGAACCACAGTCTGAGTGAGTTTCTGTCTGTGGAAATTTCCCTTTCACGGGTTTTATTTTCATAGAATTATATCCTCGCTGGCACTTGCTATTAAGAGGGATCTCAAGAGGTAATTGCTAGGCCAGCCTGAGCAGTGAGGGGGCCAGAAGCACTGCCTGGGCTGGCCTAACAGTGATGTGTTCATTAGTCCCCTCCCCTTGATCAAGTAAGGTCCTGGGACCCTTGATATTGGCAAGGCAAGAAAGATCAAGGGCAGGAG